GTTTCATATCATTTTTATTAAATCTTATAGTACATTAATTTTTGAACGATTCACTACAGTAAACCGATTTGTTGTAAGAGAGGTAATATGGGGTGTTCGGTCAATTATGGACTGACCCACATGAAATTTGGTAGAGAGATTTTGATTCATATAACAATTGTTTGTGTAGAATTTCGTTCTTATACAGGCTTTTTGAAGCCAATCATGAACTTAAGCCTTTATAGCGTGTAACATTTCTGTAACAAACCCAAAAATTGACTCTAAAATAGGTCCTACGCACTTATTTTCGAATCAAATTAGTGAAGCACATTCATGAGATTCCACTTAACTGTTTTGTATGTATGTATTTTAACATGATATGTGGCAAAACTATTCACTTATGCTAAATTGAATTTTCAGTTTTGATAAAAAGTTAAATTTTGTGTTCAAGCTAAATTGGTAAGATAATTTCGATTTTTAAAAATTTTATAAAAGGGGAAAAAAGTTTCGTTGTTTTTATAAAATTTTGTAGACAATTTTGTGTAAATTTATTATTAATTAAAAGAAAATAAACAATTTAAAATTTCTTGTATCATAAAAATCGATTTTAAAATCAATCAAAAAATCATTAATAAAACGCTAATAACAAAAAATTTTAAATTTCTGAGTAAAACGTATTTTATTATTTACCGAATTCTATATGTCCCAAAAAATCAAAAAGATTTCAGCTCTTGGACTATAAAGGGTTAAAGTTATTTTCTTAAGGGATTTATATGGGGGCCAGGGATAGCAAATTACATTTTAAAATTTTACAAAATTGCGTGAAAAATAGTACATTTTTGCTTCTAATTGTACCAAATCATAATTATTTTACTAAATTAATATTAAAGTGGGAGTGTCCTTAATCGAAACAAAAACATTTCAAGCTATACATAGGTTAGGTTGAGAGGAGGATGTATAATACATCAAATCCTAAGAAATACTCTTAGGTCACTATAGTACCTGTTGAGCTCTCCTTATCCGAAGTACAGAAACTCTGTTTCTAGATGGAGTTCTTTAAAATGTTCCAATCAGTGTGCGTGAGGGATGTTATATCTGCTCCCAAGATATTCAGCATAAAATTTTCCATAGAAAATTAGTCTGATCTGTGTAAAGCTATTTTACATGTATTTGGTCTAAAATGCAATAAAAAATTTTATATTGCATAAAACTTTAATAGTTATTGCGGAAATACTAGATTTTTTCACATTTGAATGGACTCATACTACTTTCAAAAACAATAATTTTATAATTTTGCTAATTTATTATTTTTTCATACAAAAAGGAACTCATATCAATTAGCAAAAATTAAAATATATAGTTTTATTGTATTAGAAGAGTCTGCTAAATTTTTCGAAAATTTCAACTTTTAGCAGAGATGCTGACAAAATCTCAGATGAGTGATTGGTGTACTACCATTGTACTTTTAAGCATCGAATTGTACCAAAAAGTACAATTGTGCCAACTTTGCCAACCCTGATGGGGGCTAACTGTAGCCCAATGATTACCATTCTTACAGCATAATTTCTTGGTACACAGAAAAAAGTTTCAGCATAAATATTATGAACTGCTTTCATTGACAAAAGTTAATAATATTTAAGAATAAGTTCCTAAATGGTATGAATTTTTTCATTTTTATTTTTTCAAACATAATCTGGAACTTTGACTTAAAATATTTCAAATTTAATTTTTATTTTTCTATTTGTTAAAAATTGTTTGAAATTTTCTTTGGAAAATTTTTTATTTCTTTATGATTTTTAGATTGAAATCGATGGGATGTGCACGTAATTTGCGGGATTTGATGAAGAATGGATGTTTAACTATGTTTGCTGATGTTTTCTTATTTCAGATTTTGTTTTTCAACATTTCTATTTAATTATCATACAAAATTTGCTAATATAGGATCACTATTTACAAGAAACAGATTTGTAGATAATGGACTTTTTTTGCAATTTTTTAAGAATATCATAGAAAATAAGTAAAAGCCAAAAAAAATACTATCATGTTGAAATTCATACATTTTATGAACTTTTAATATTCTGAATGAAAATGGTTTGGGAAAAAAAGTCATGTTCGATTCATACTATTTATTACAAAATTCATTCCAGCTATGTATTATTTTTTTATGTGTACATAAACCTAACTTGTGTAAAATTTTACCACGATTGCTTCATAATTAATATATGTGTGAGGGCTATGTAAAAATCGAAGTCCGATACTGCCCATTTTTAATACCAAACAGTGCACATTGGGGTCTCCTTTAAGTAAACTTGGCAAAAAGTCAATATTTAAAAATTATTTTTTTGCAAAAAATATAGCGTATCTTAAAAGCCAAGACTTTGTTCTATATAACGCTATAATTAGTTTTTCGATTTTCCTTTTATAATTATAATTTTCCATATTGTTTTTTTTTTTTAATTAATACCTTTACCTTTTTTGTATAAAAAAACTACCTTTCCATAAATTTTCTTAAAATTTTAATTTTCAAGTTCAAATATAATGTTGTTTTGTATGAAAAATTATATTTTAAATAACCATTACACAATAGGATTCAATTATTCATTACTTATTAAAATGCCACTTTTCATATATATATTTATGTTTTTTTGCCATTTTTAAAGGAGAAAAAGTACTATTTGGCCGCTGATGGCCCCTCGGCAACCATATACATATGTAAGATACTATAATGTGTTCTTAATATCACCACATCTATATTTTTTGCCTCTATGGCATTTTTTATTTATTTTTCTAACACTCCATAAAACAAAAATATTAAAACATTTGTATTTTATTTAAAAAAATCGAATTATTAAACACAAAATTAATTGATTTAAATAATTCTCCAATAGTTAACGAGTAACTAAAATTGATTTCACTAAACATTTCAAAGACTTTTTCATACGTTTTTACCATATATATAGCTTTTTTGAAAGAAAAATTAAATAAAAATTCACAGAGATTTTGTACTTGACTAAATGGTGTTGTTATTAGTGCAAGTACTTACCACAATCGCTTACAAGTAATTAGAAAAATAAGTCAATTTAAATTGTATGAACAAATTTATACAGCTCCGATAGCTTCACGAAGAAGATGACAAATGAATTAAAAAGTAGTTATATATCACATTATTAATAAGACGTTATTAGACTACTTCTATGTAAACAGGACTACAATATGTAGTCATTGAAAACTATGTTAATAGGTAAGTGGTTACAACTGAAAGTCATTACCAAGTATTTGCTGGGATTATATCGGGATTCCGAGATTTATTTGAAAATCTTAAATCCCGGGATTTCTAAAAATCAATCCCGATCGTCATCAACCAGATAAACTCTGCACCCTGTGTCGGATTCCATCTTGGATCCATCAGTAACTCCGAAGTCCAAGGACGTTACCAAATGATCAGAAATACCTTCAGAACTTCTGTTTATCACTGTTAGACCTACTTCGATCAGTATTCTAGTACGGCCTACCACTTTGGTCTTACCAGAGCTGATTCAAACAGTCTAATAAGTTCCTAGCCGTCTCATTTTTAACATATGTATTTCTAAATGGGGAGCAGATTACTGATTATCGGGAGAAATATACAGTTAACCAGTGTCACCACGTCTTAATACATCCTCCAGATTTCGTTCAATTCAGACCAAGGATACGCCTACTTCAAAAATGTCCTTTTTCAAATAATCTAAAAAAAACACTAAAATGTTCTTATCAAATCTTTTATAAAGAGTGTTGATGATGCAGATAAAACGGTCCCCCAGTGAATTTCATTTTGTCCATAATAAATCCCTTCTTTGATTTTTGCCGTATTTACCAACACTATTAAATTATCTGTCAAAAAGTAACGTTCGCCATGTTCAATTAAAATAAAAAGGAGCCATTATAGTTTTGTCGTCAACAAGTGTAGTCGTCCAACAACAAAGAATAAATTCTCCTTCTCCTTCTGCTTATCTTTTCAACCTTTATAATGTTAGTGGAAATAAATTTTCATTACTAACTTTAAGACGACCTGAGTTTTTATTTTTTCAAGAGACGACATCTTTATTCTTTGTTGGCGTATTTGTTTGTGTGGTTTAATGTTTTAACCTCGTGTCGCCGCCATTTTGGAGTCTTCAGTGTTTGTGTCATTGTTTGATTTGGTGTCAAACTTCTGTTGTCTGTGATACAAATTTATGGCGGAGAATTCTCCAAGAACTAGCGAAAGGGTTAATAAAGGCGTGCCACCAAAACGTTATGATATGGATCCTCCTGGAGGACAAAATGTATCTACAGGGTCTGCATCGACATCCAGTCAACAACAGCCAACGAATCCTGTTGTTACAACTGGAAATAAATCATCTCAACAACGAACCCCACAGCCTGACGTGCTGCGTGTTCTAGCTGACATGCAAAAAGAGATGATGAGACAGATAAATTCGGTAAACAATAATTTAAATAATTTGATCGCCGTACAAAAAGACCAAACTAGTGCCAGTATAGCTTCACTCCAACAAGAAATTAAACTGATATCAGAACGAGTAGCTAGCAATTGTCAAACATTTTCCGCAAACGTCGACAGAGAAGTACGGCCAACTGGTGTGGTCCACACAGAAAATAACGGTGAGTCCTTTACTAATGTTTCTTCCCACAGCCAAGGTTCCGCGACCGTAAAAGCCAAAAAGTTGTATCCCCTCCCATCGTTTAGCGGTTTGCCAGAAGAATGGCCAACATTCATTGAAGATTTTAATCAAACAACCACCGAGTTCGAATATAGCCCTCTACAAAACATAATCCGCATTCGTGAAGCTTTACATGGTCCGGCCAAGGAAACTGTAGAATCTCTCTTGTCTAGTTCACAAAATGTTAACATTATATTAAATATATTAAGTGAAACATATGGTCGTCCCGAACAATTAATAAGAAGCCAAATTGACAAAGTAAACACACTCAATTATGTTCCTGAAGGAAAACTGGATTTATTAATACAATTTTCTACAAAAGTCAGTAATATGGTGCGTTTTTTTGCAAACAGCCAATGGCAAACATCACCTCAGTAACCCAACCTTGCTTAGCGAATTAGTTTCGAAGCTGCCACCAACAAAACAGATGCAATGGGCTGAAAAATGTATTGAACTTAACAGGGCTGCTGATTTGGTAGATTTCTGTCAATGGCTCGAGGGAGTAAGGAAAATTGCCAACATGGTTTCCGATGCATTGCCATCAGTGTCATCCGTAGTTAGAAATAAAAAGCCGCTACCTAAAAATAAATTTGCGTTAACTACAAATATTGTACAAAAATGTGCAATTTGTTCTGGAGATTGTCATCCCCTTACGGACTGCCAATTGTTTAAGGAGGCTTCTGTGGATGAACGTTGGAATAAAGCCCGTGCACTTCGTTTGTGTTTCTCATGTTTGAAAGGAAGACACCAGGTAAATAAATGTTTTAAAAAGCAGCGTTGTGGTACAAACAATTGTGAAAAACAGCACCATCCACTATTACATTCAACTAGTGATCAAAACAATAAACAAACGAATGGTGTTGCCACTGTTGTTGAAAATGAGAATCCCAGAACAGTTGTCAATTTACATGCAGGTACTCAAAAGAGTGAAATCTTATTTCAGATAATACCAGTGAATTTATATGGACCTAAAGGATGTATCTCAATCTACGCATTTATAGACGACGGCGCTGATGCCACCATGCTAGAATGGGATATTGGTAAAGAAATTGGTTTAAATGGTAAACAGGAAAAATTAAAATTGCAATGGTTAAATGGACATTGCAGTAGTGAACAAACAGAAATTGTAGATCTGTCTATTAGTGGTCTACCAGAAGAAAATATAAAGTACCAAATTTCGGAAGTGTATTTGGTTAAAAATCTAGAGTTGCCTACACAATCATTTAATTTAAACGACATTAATTACCAAAGCCATCTAAACGACCTCCCAATCACCTCCTATAGCAAAATTAAACCACAAATGATTATTAGTTTGACACATGCATTTTTGACGGTACCAGTAAACATACCCATATGCCCTGATAACAATGGACCTATTGCGGTGAAGACAAGACTTGGATGGGTAGTTTACGGTCCAAATGGCATGGAAAGGCATTGCGTGTTAAAAAGTGTATTTCATTCAAGACGACAAGATATAGAAATGAAGGAGATGATGCGTCAATATTTTGAGGTTGAATCGTGTATGGTAAAACTTGATGTCAAACCCGTTAAGCCAGAAAGTGAGATAAGAGCATTAGATATTTTGAAGTCGACCACAAAATTTTGTGATGGCCGTTATGAGTGTGGGCTTTTATGGAAAAATGAGACTCAGTCACTGCCTGATAGTTATGCTCAATCTTTAAGACGACTTTATATGATTGAGAAAAAATTTCGTATAGACCCACAATTTGAAATTAAATATAGAGCAAAAATGAAGCATCTTTTAGAAAAAGGGTATGCACGACGACTTAGTCCCGAAGAGGAAAAAACAATTTTACCCAAAACGTTCTTTTTACCACACTTTGCAGTTTTTAATCCCGTTAAGGATAGTCTACGTTTAGTTTTTGATGCAGCGGCGAAGGTTGACGGTGTTTCTTTAAATGATTTTCTGCTACCAGGACCAGACCTGAACCAACCGCTAACTAGTGTTCTGTTTAAATTTCGTGAACACCCTATTGCAGTTTGTGGCGACATAAAGGAAATGTTCTTACAGGTGGCAATTAAAAAAGAAGATCAAGAATCCCAACGTTTTTTATACAGAGAGAGCACCAACCAACCTGTTAGACAGTACGTCATGACAAGAGCTATTTTTGGGGCGAGTTGTTCACCAACAATTGCACAATATGTGAAAAATTTAAATGCTGAAAAATTTTTAGTCTACAACCCTAGGGCCGTAGAAGCCATAATTAAATGCCACTACGTAGACGACTATGCAGATTGCTTTTCCTCAGTTAATGAAGCTCTAAAAGTAGTTAAAGACGTTATAAAAATACATAACGCAGCAGGTTTTGAAATGCATAAAATTATATCCAATTCAAAAGAAATAAACTCGTACTTTGGTAACCATACCATGGATAATATTAATATGACATCTGGTAACATTGAAAATATTTTGGGAATGCAGTGGTCAGCTGTTAAAGACAAATTTGTTTTTGATATTAAATTCAAACGAGTTTCAGCCGATATTATTGAAAATAAACGCACACCTACTAAAAGAGAAGTTCTACGACTAATTATGTCCGTTTTCGATCCATTTGGATTTTTAAGTAATTTTACTATTACGGGAAAGATATTCATGCAGTCGCTATGGAGATGTGGTTTGGAATGGGACGAGGAAATACCAGAGGCTTTACGTGATCGTTGGAAATCTTGGACCACAGGGTTGAAAAAGGTAAGGGACTTTAGTATTCCGAGATGTTATTTTCATAATTTGTGTGACCAAAACATAACTTTACATTTATTTTGTGACGCAAGTGAAAAAGCAATGGCTGCGGTGGCGTATTGGAGATACTATACTCCTGATGGACCCAAAATTTCATTTGTATCAGGTAAAACCAACTGTGCACCAACTAAGTCTATTTCAATCCCGAGGTTGGAGCTGCAAGCGGCTGTAATGGCTATTAGGTTAAAAAATGCCATCGTAGAACACCATAATATTAAACCTGTCGAATTTTATTTTTGGACAGACTCAAGTACGGTCATAAAATGGCTAACGTCTGAACATCGTCGCTACAAACAGTTTGTTGCTAATAGAGTAGCCGAAATCTTGGAATCATCAGAAGAAAAGCAGTGGCGTTGGGTGCCTGGTGAGATGAATCCAGCTGATGAAGGCACTCGTCCGAGTTTACAGTATGACCCTAATAACCGATGGAAAAATGGACCTGAATTTTTATGCCGACCATCTGAATTGTGGCCGTCCAATTGTAAGCCGTTAGATGCTACTAATGATGAGGAAGAACTTCGTAGCGGCCATTATGTATTTTCCACACGTGTCATAAATATTATATTCGATGTGAAACGTTTCTCACAATACCAAAAGTTCGTAAGACACATTGGATGGATTTTTCGTTATGTAAACAATTTAAAGTTAAAATATAAAAAACAAACTCTAATGAGGGGTGACTTAACAGTCGAGGAACAAGAGCAAGCTGAACGTTATATAATTCGGTCAATACAAAAGACAGAATTTGCCAACGAGTATTCTTCTCTATCAAGAAATGAACCTATATCTCCAAGAAGCTCTATAATAACGCTCAAACCTTATATCGACGAATTTGACATTCTTCGATGTGGTGGAAGAATAGACAACGCTCCATTTATATCATATATTACGAAAAGGCCGTATATTCTTCCAAAAGACAATCGAGTAACATACCTTTTAGTCCAGTGGTATCACGAACGTCAGAAACACATCAACGATTCTATAGTGATATGTGAAATACGGTTAAAATATTGGATACCGTCTATACGTGTTATTTTAAATAAAGTGAAGTCTGCTTGCTGTGCCTGTAAAATACGTAAATGCAAACCGTACCAACCAATTATGGGTCCCCTCCCTAAAGATCGTTTAAGTGCCTTTGTTCGTCCATTTTCTTACACGGGATTGGATTACTTTGGTCCAGTGTTAGTTGCTGTCCGCCGTAGTCAAGAAAAGCGGTGGGTTGCGTTATTCACGTGTTTAACAACCCGTGCCATCCACTTAGAGTTGGCAATGAACCTGTCGAGTGATTCGTGCCTACTTTGTATCAGGAATTTTATAAATCGACGGGGAGTACCAGTTTTAATTAGAAGTGACAATGGCACTAATTTCGTGGGTATCACGAAGGAGCTAGGTTTTGAAGAAAATTTCATTGATCCTGAAAAAATAGATGCTGATTTAAAACCCCTTGGCATTAAATGGAAGTTCAACACCCCCTCTGACCCTAGTGCTGGTGGTTGTTGGGAAAGACTTGTGCAGTCTGTAAAAAAGGCCCTATATGCCACTTTAAAAGAACAAACAGTACGTCCAGAAACGTTATACAGCCTATTAGTTGAATGTGAAAACATATTGAACTCCAGACCACTCACTCATTTGCCAGTCACACCAGATGAACCAGAACCGTTGACTCCGAATCACTTTTTATTGGGATGTTCCAATTCAACGCAGACTCCGGGACCCTTTAATTCAAAATGTTGCACCTTAAGGAAACAGTGGAGAATTTTGCAAAATTTAAAAAATTGTTTGTGGAAACGTTGGGTATTGGAGTATCTCCCCGAATTAACACGTAGAACAAAGTGGTGTCGACCTACAAAGCCCTTGGCGACTGGATCTTTAGTCCTTATTTGTGAAACCGATCAAGCTAGGTCAAAATGGAGAAGAGGACGTATTCACAAATTATTTGTTGGTAAAGACGGAGTAGCAAGACTTGCCGAAGTAAATACTGGCAACGGCCTGTTGCGTCGTCCCGTTTCAAAACTGGCCGTATTAGATGTGGAGAATGTTGGTGAATTGGACATTATGGGGTCCATTCACGGGGGCGGGGATGTTGATGATGCAGATAAAACGGTCCCCCAGTGAATTTCATTTTGTCCATAATAAATCCCTTCTTTGATTTTTGCCGTATTTACCAACACTATTAAATTATCTGTCAAAAAGTAACGTTCGCCATGTTCAATTAAAATAAAAAGGAGCCATTATAGTTTTGTCGTCAACAAGTGTAGTCGTCCAACAACAAAGAATAAATTCTCCTTCTCCTTCTGCTTATCTTTTCAACCTTTATAATGTTAGTGGAAATAAATTTTCATTACTAACTTTAAGACGACCTGAGTTTTTATTTTTTCAAGAGACGACAAAGAGATAGATGAGTAATTAATTGACGAAATATAAGAAAATTTAAAATTTGGTCAATAAATCTTCAAGGTTTCGTGTCCTTCCCATATATAATGAAATTAGATATTGCTATAACTGGGAGAAAAAGCTCATATCCTAATGAAGTTTTGTACAGACTTTAGTTTTGATATACCTAATACAACCTCAATTCAGACCAAGGATAAGCCTCCCTCAAAAATGTCCTTTTTCAAATACGTAATCGAAAAAAAGCAAAAAAAAAACTAAAATTTTTTATCGAATCACTTATAAAGAGATAGATGAGTAATTATACACGTTAAATTTTTTGTTCCCCACCTCCTATATATCCTTAGTGAGGATTCCTTTTCAACCTTCAAGGATATCCTTTTCGTTTGATCTAATCTGATGCTCATAACAAATAAAAAGTATTTATTTGTACTTGTACTGGCTTCCTAATAGAACTTTTTATATTTTGTTTAAAAAAAATATCATCTAAAAATAATTTCAACATAATTGTCAACTATTACGAAGTTCCATGTATCCACCCAGTATCTTTATTAAGTTTCTATTAAGTTTCCACCCAGTATCTCTATGAAGTTTATATATATTAAAATACATACTTATAGCAATAAAATATAAAAAAAATGTCGAAAGTGATATCGGGTGTTTTTTTTAACTCACAACAGAATTTGACATTTGTATCGAAATCGGAGGTATCCTTTATCTAACGATATTTCGAGAAGGATCAGTATTTTTAAACCAAAACAGTGTTACAATTATCGTTATATATATACCTTTCAATTGTATTACAAATATATCAGTCATTACTAAAACAGAATTTAATTTAAATAACGACAAGCAAATGTCAAATTTTAGGTTTTTCTCTTAAATATATTATATTGCATGCAAACCTTAAATTTGAGCTACAATAACTAAAAAACTACACAAAATTTAAATATTATTTTGCATTTGAACTAATAAGAATGTTTTCTATACAAAAAGTAAAAAAATAATAAAATTTCCTACATCGACTTTAACCATTCTTGGCCACGCTCGTGACAGTGTGCGTCATCCGCACAAGCATCTATCTTCCTGCCTTTATATTCAAAAAACCTGAGAATAGAGTTGACCGTCAATAACCAAAGTAAGGGTGATAAGACTCCTTATTGTGGTGTACACCTGCTAATTCATTTCCGAATCCTATCATCAACTTAGGTTGAGTTGATAATTCTGCTATAAAGCATCATACTATCTAACTCACTAGGAAATCCTGTATCAAAACTACTACAGGTAACACACAAAACGGCACGCATTCCACTTATTAACATTGATATTAATTATTCATATATCACTTATTTACTACAAAACTTGCATAAATAAATGAACTAAGGTGTTATATTAAAGACTTTCATATGGTTTCATTATTTTCAAAAACTTCCAATTTTTTCGGGTGCTAATGATTTTTTATTGTAAACGTCCAAACTAATATCCAAGTTTTCACGTATATTTGATAAGCAAAATTTAGTTTAAGTTCAGATTTTTTTGAAACCCGGCGATCAGTTTGAAAGTTATTTATTATTATTAATGCTGTTTTACTAAAAACTAAGATTTTTGATTTAAAATTTTACATTCCCTAATCAAAAAGGTCATAAAAATATTAAGAAACACAATCTTACATTTCCACAGCTGTAAAAAAAGTGAAAATTGTTCTAAATATAATATAAATATATGTAGTTTTTTCCGAATTTTGATTATATCTGCTATACTTGTAGACCGATTTTACTAGTTTTAAATAGAAAAATTTTTAATAGAATAATCAAAATATCTAAAAGAATAAAAAGACATTTCGTAAAGATTTTGTAAAGTAGTAAATCCTTAATGTCCATAGAAATTAAAATTAATTTATATTTTCAACAAAACAAAAAAAGTGGGAGTATTGTCGTCTACAAAATAGACAGAATCCTCTATTGTATTATCAACGACACTATGTAAGATACTATAGCTTAAAAGTCATGTACAAGTTTATAAAAATGTTGTTTTCGTCGAAGACGACTTAAATCACATAATGGTAATGTCACTCAAATTGTCTGGCACGAATCAAGTGCCGTTTGTCCGAAAAAGTCGTCAGTGATGCACTGGCTGATTTAACATTGACTTGCACACGTCTTTGATGATGTCTTGAAGAGTTGGTCAACTGGGTACATACAAATGTATATGTGCGGACTCCTGCTGTAATTTCTGTGAAAAAATCGTTGATTTTCTCATCTTGGACATTTGCGTACCTGGAAATCTCCCGCTATATGCATTATTTTATGACCTACAACATCACAACAACTTCCTCACTTTTATTTTCCTCAATGATTTATGACTTCATCACAGAGACTTTCTATTGTCTGTAAAGGACTTGAACGTGTCCTTGATAAACTGCACCAAATTTAAAGTCAAGAAATTATTGAATATATTTTAGTTTAATGCATAATGAAATTTATGACTTCGTGAACATTGATATGTACATGCGTTAGTTAGCTTACGGTGTGCATAAAACTAAATGTATGTATGTCTCAGAATGTGCCTTTACGCTACAGGTAATAATTTAATTTCTGCGAATAAAAAAAAATAGGAAATTGGTGTTTTGTGGTACAATGACATTTTTAAAAATTTGTCATCGAATTTCCAGTATGTATTTCGGATCCTACCTAAACACACAAATTTGTATATTTTATTGCTTTGCAACAAAGGAGTAAAACACTTGTGTTTTAAATTTGGCTGTCGAATTTTGTTATTGACAATTTATAAGAAGAAAACGTTCAATTCTATAGCATTGCACTAATTATTTAAGTTATTGTAACAGTTTCCATACGTATGTTAAAAATAAGTGAAATTGTTACGGTTGTTAAAAAAGTTCACGCACCAAATGTCTGTCCATCTGTTTTTTAAATCAGTTTTTTGAATCCAAATCATGAATAATTCAATTAGATACATATCGAGGGACTATATTCAATAGTCTCTATCTAAAATAATACAAGTTTTCAGGAGAGCAAAAAAACTGTTTAATTTCGCTAGTTCGTGAAGATTTTTTAATTTTTTCTTCTACAATATATTTTTACGACCATATTCTGAATCGTTATATAAAAAGAATTTAAAATTTTTCATTATTTGCTAAATTATTCACAAATTTATATCAGATATAGCTTTTTTTTCTACAAAAAATTTTTTACAATCTTCAGATAGAGAGTTTTTCATACAAATATACATTTTTTATTTGATTTAATATCAAAAAATATTATCCTTTTTGCATTGTAATGAAGTAATAGAAACCATATTGTTGAAAAAGCAACAGATTATAAGGTTAAACACGACAATAAGATTATTCAAATTAGTATCATAATGAGTGATATCTCAAAACTGTTAAACCGATTTTTAATATTTTGGCGGATTTGTGTTCAGCATGTCCAAATTAGTAAAAAACACTTGTTTTGCAACTGAAAATAATCCAAAATAATACAGTTTGAAGCAATTTTTGTATAAGATAGAGAGTTTTGCATTCAGAATTTTTCATTTTTTAAGATAGAAAAATTTAAAAATTGTTATAAAATTGCCAAAAAAATATTATTTTTCTTCGAAATTTATATCACTGATGCGGGGTAGTTTGCTGTATATTTTGCCATCAAAATCTTATTATCATGAAAATGACTGATAGAGACTATTGAATATAGTCCCTCGATATGCTTTTAAGAATTATGCTGTTTACAACAAGTAAAATCGGTACATAAGAATCGGATATATGGTCAAAACAAATATTATCAACAAATTATTTGTATGGATTTTTTGATTAAAGGATGTAAAATAGCATATTTGCGTAAAAATTAAAAAGTCCTGAGATATAAGCAGTGACGAGTTGTTATGTGACAAAAATATACTTCTCGGTAAAAATGCCCATATATAAATATTTTAATAAAAAAAATAAAAAATTTGGTTTATATTAGAAATTGGTAAGCTTATATCAGGCATGGGGGGTAATGACTACATTATCAATTACAATTGAAGTAATTGTAATTGAAGATTCACCAATTACGATTACTTGTAATTGTTTATTGGTCAATTATACATTACAAGTAATTACAACTACAAATAATTGTAATTTGTTATTTATCAATTACACATTACAAGTAATTGTAATTGACCATGTAGTGAATTACTTTGTGTAATCATTACCTCTCATGCCTGGCTTATATGGACCAATGATCGCATACTTTATAGGCTTTTTACACCTAGTTTCATCATTCATCTCTCATCAATTTGCAAAGATGACAACCAGGGATGGAAAATAAGATTTTGTGTCAGCACTTTTTTGGATCTGAGAGTACCTAAATAATATTTTTGGTTATATCGATTGTTTATTGCCAATAAATGTGTTATTAAAATCTGACGTATGAGTTCATTTGTTAAAAAATCAATTGTCAAATCAAATTCTACACATTGCGCTCCATGACGTGAGACCTTAATTAGGATATTTACTCTTACATTATATTCTGAATATGAGATGAAACAATAATTTGCTTTAAAGTCCAAATATTTCTGACCAGAAACTTTTAATATTATCTTTGCTTGAATGCTTAATTTCAAAACATATCGTTTTATATTAGATAGAAATTTAATCATTCAAGTTTCTATCATTTGGAAATCATTTGTTTGAATGCCAAATATTTTTTCAAAATTGAAATTCTAATTTTCTCATAAAATATTGAGAATGAAATTTGAATTAGATTAATATTCATATAATGGCAATCAAGAAAGAAATAAGTATAACTTCCGATTCCAAAAATTTGAAATATTAATGATACTTTGGATCCCATTTTCTCAATGTCTTCTTATTTTTTATCGAAACGAAATATTGAAAGTTTTCACACAAACATTATTTTAACCGGCAGATTTTCTAGCGATTAAACGATAATC